TCAGAGCTAAAAAATGGTTCAATCCAATTTTAAAAAAATTGAATGAAATAACGATAATACCCCTGCATTCTCGTGAGAACACTATGCACATACCGGAAGGCTGTGGTATCTCTGCTCCTTCCGTAATACAGGGACTTATGTTGAGGGTGACCCAGACAAACCAAAACAGACACGAGGAGTTCGATTCGAAAGTTCCATTCTGGCTCAGTCGTCGCACAGGATGATCAGGACCGCAATAATCATTGTGCTCTTGGGGTGGATATTGATGACTTGGCCACCGGGGTCGGACATCTGGATGATTCTTGGCGCGTCAACCTCCATGCTACATACACTAGGCTGGTTGTCGACGACTACCAGCCGTAGCGTATTTTCGGTCCGATGTCCTAAGAGCGGACCGACAGCAGGACCTGCGGCCTGTTCTACAGAATATTTACAAGCTACAACTTACAAGTATTTACTCGGGTCGTGTCTTGGTCGTGTGAAAGGTCAGTGGAACCTGCCGGAAGAGTTAAACAAGAAGACACGACCCTTGCAAGTACTTGTAACTTGTAAATCTTTTGTGGAAGAGGCCCCAGGTTAAACAACCCGGCTTCTAAGGTTACGACTTCGTATATTGGGCCTTGGAATGTGTTGGCATTCGGCGTTAAGAAGCTGGAACTCGTGAAAGAATCTAGTAACTGTTCTTGTACTGCTCCAAGTACTGAAGCAGGGTAGACTCAACTATGTTTTTCCCAGACGGCGATTGGGATATTCATTAGTCCCGGCTGGACAACGGGACCGAATGGAAACCAACCAGCGATCGAGTCGCTCTGATCCGCCTCAAATTCGCGGTTATCGGGTTTGTCTACCGTTCAGGTCTATGGACCGAACATGAGTTGGAGTACTACACGTGCCTCGAAGAGGAAGGCCTTGAAGGCGAACGGCGATGTCGTCTTGCTGATGGGGAACTCGAGTGCGCGAGTTGAGAAAGACGTCGCGACGAGGAGTGGGGTGTCAGCAGGGTGCCAGGGTGTTCGGAGAAGCCACACTCAATGGGAATGGCAGAAAATTACTAGACATATGTGCTGGCAATCGCCTGACCATCACCGACACCTTCTTCCAGCACAAGGATATCCACAAGCATACCAGGCATAGGGGTCTGACAGTCTGACTGGTACTGTGTGCCAGAGGTCGTTGATCGACCACGGGATCTGACTGGCTGACTTGTGGAACCTGGTCGCGGATACGAGGGTAAAGCGTGGGGCTGAGCTGAGCACCGACCGTCATCGAGTGGTGATGCGGTCGAACCTCAAGACGGGGCAAAAAGCCTCAGGCGTTACAAAATGAGTGAGGTTGGAATCCCTCCAGAATGAGAATACTCGTTACGGGTTGGAAAAGGGAATCGGCGAAAATTATTCTCAATTGCCTCGCTGGAATTCTGACGTAGAGACGAATGGGAACTGTTTCGATCTGGCGTTTCGGACGCAGCGATGGAAATACGAGGGGACATTCAAGAAATATCATAAATAAATAAATAAAAACGCGGATAGAGTTCTACATTGAACACACGCACTGCTTAGGTATGCTTTCATAATCTTGCAGAACAAGCAATAAGCCTGCATGCGCAGGTCAGTCGGAAAAATGGCTTTCGTCATTCATAGTAGGTTCATAGCACATTCATTTCGTCAGCCGGGTAGTACATGTGCATAACTGCGAGGTGCGACTTGTTATGTTTCGTGCGGAAGGGATGTAGTCGAAAGGTGTTTTCAGAGAATGAGACCAGTGTATGGTGAAACATGTATGTCGCGAAATTCTATGTATGGCTTGTGCGAGAAGTTCCGAAGCGATCGTGTGAACGTCGCGGATACTTCACGTCCTGCGACGCCATACAGTTTTCACTACGGACGACTCAGTACCGCAAGTGAATGAGTTAGTGATCGAAAATCGGCGCATTAAAGAGGCGGCCTTCGCTCGTGTAACAGGGTTATCCGCTGGTTCTGATGGTTCACATCTGATGATGGAATTAGCCGTTCGTGAGCGGCATCGGTGCCAGGCCATATCGTTCTATGCCACCGGCATACCGAAACTTGACAAGGGGAATTTTGTGGGCAAAATCCTTAGGATTGCCATCTACCCTCATGTGTTTTTCTGTAATTTTATTTTTGGACGTATTATTTTTTTTACTGCCCCGTAGAGAAAAGCATGTCGGAGTGGCGCACGCGGTAGCACCCAGCGGACTCCCCGATGGACACCTGGAGTACGGTTGGCTGTTGTTGACAAGAAGGTCGTCTATAGGGCTCATGTCTACCAGTCGTATATAGGGCGCATTTTGCTGAAGTGAGAACATGTCATCTCTTGTTACCCCTGCTAATCTGCTCTTATGCAGCAAAAGGTTAAGAAGGGGGACTCAAAGACTCTTGGATATCAAAATTCTCGAAAAATACAGTACAGTATTGGGAGTGTGACAAAGAGGTTTACATGTGCTTAGAGATTTCGAAAAGGCGTACGACCGTGGGCTTCGAAAGAGATTGTGAGGAGTGCTGTAGGAGTATGGGATCAACTGTCAACTTCTGCTGGCCATTCATTCCTTAACCAGTGATTGCAGGAGCTGAGTTTGAGTGAATGGGATGAGCGAAGGACACTTTTCCGGCACGCGTTGGACGCCATCAGGGTTGGATTCTCTCCTTTCCCATTCCGCGTGTACGTGGGTAGGACATGCAGACACAGCCTGGGCCTCAAGGTAGTCAATACCAGTGGTATCGAGGTCAAGATGCTTCTCTTTGCCGATGGTGCTGTCTTTTTGGCCCAGTCTCGACAGGAGCTTAAAAGGAGCGTAAAAAAAAAAACTGGTTCAACTCAGGGCATGCTGCGGCCGGAATGAATTGGAGCGTCCCCTAAGCGCAGGTTATGGCCCTTTCGAGAAGTCCAGTACAGTGTGCCCTACATGTTAACGGGGCCCTCAATGAAAATTGGTGGAGAAATTTAAGAACCACAAGGTCTGGTTCTCGAACGATGGGCGATACGAAACGATATCAACAACCACATCTCCAGGGTGTCTGCAGTTTTGCGAGAACTCTGATGGACCGTGGCTGCGAAATCATTTTCAAGGAGGCGAAACTTAGGTTATCAAGAGCATTTACACTCCCACTCCACCTATAACCGCGAATTATGGGTAATGACCGGAGAATGAAGTCCCTGATACAAGCTGCCTCGATGAGGTTTTTTCGGCGGGTGGCTGGTGTTACGCCAAGTGGGGATGTGAAGTGCCGCCATCAGTGAGAACTTCCACGTTGAGCAGCTACTTCGGATCTTCGGAGATCTCAAGGCCGTTGGTTTGGACGCTTCTCCTACATGTACATACCCCGAGAGACTCCTATAAAGAGTTTAAAATGACCTCTCCTAGTTAAAAATGACCGGCAGCAGATAGCTTGATAGGCCTCGTGCAAGGCTAACGGACTAATGTGGACTTGGAGTGATTGCGGTATGCAGGGGAGGGCTCACCTCGCCTTTCTCCCCTCCTGTAAGATATGCTTCCTCCTGACCCGGAATCGAAAATAAACCCCCTAACTTCTTAGAGGCTGAGCGCTGTCCTCTGCTGTCCCACTTGTTGGCATTTGCCGTGTGTGTATGTGTGTGTGTCCGTCTCTGTCCCTCTCTTCTCTTTCCCATCGGGTGGATCTTTTCTGGACAGTGTTCTCCATGTCAATATTTGTTCCCTTTTCCCAACTGTATGAGTATTTTCAGTGTGGATGAACGTCGGGAACTGCTTGATTTTCATTTTGTAATATAATATTAGTTACTGATGTTCCTTATTGTACTTCATGACTAATTGTGCCAGTCCTCTCACGATAAGCAACATCAACATACGGACGGGCCCGAAACACCCACACTACATTCTCAAGTATTTCAAAGACAGTGGGCCATAGGCGGTCTAGGCTCAATACTGGCAGATCCCTGACGGAGGCGGTTATTTGACGGCTGGAATCAGCCAGAGGGCCACCTGGTCAAGAATATTTGCATTTGATGAATGTGTCGATCCCCTGACGGCCGGTAGGGACAAGTGGAACATGCAGCAGGTGGCCTGCTACTCCACGCTCTGGTTACCACAGGGAAGACAACTGCAACTCAGGGAGCAGACCCAAATATGCTCTCACGTGACAACGGTCATGGCAGGTCCTCCTGAAGTATCTCGAGTGTCAGTGAAAGGATTAAGCAGTGGTCTTTGTCCACGATGCTCTCCTTAACTGTGTTATTTCAGTAGTTCATTGGGCTCTGAAAAAATTTCCTCTGAGTGAAAACGGTAAAATACAGTACAGTACACAAAAGTTGCTATTAAGTTTCTGGGAACTGTTTCCACAGAATATTGCAAACTGCATATATTGATATCTAGTCGAATGTACCATTTCCACGTAGTCTTCTGCAACTGCATAGCGTTTTATTTTGCATCTTTAAACCCACTGCTTGAAGCCTGAAATGAAATAATTCTACTGGCGGTTAGAAGCACCACCAAAGAACTCGTGCTTGCATATCATCTGTCAGTTGAAGAAAGAGACAGAACGGAAAGAGAAAATATGACTGTGAAATCAGATGAAAAAAGGGGGAGAGGGTAGAGTCTCATATCTGTGTTTAGATTATCTAGGGAATGGTCTGGCATGGAGACAATCCCAGACCATGGCCCACTTGCCGTGTATAAATTCCATAAGAAAATGTTTTGACATCTGTGCTTGACGGGATTTTTAAAATTATTATTTACGCATGCTCCTCCATGGATGTTTTTGTAATATTAATAAGGGTCCAATAGGAACATTTTCCCTGAGCGCAGATGATTGACATACCAGCTATCCCTGGTTGCATAAGGGGCACTGGTTCACTTTGACAAGGGTGTTCTGACAGATGAAAACCATCTTCCAATTATTTTGGAGTGGAAAGTGTCCTAAGATGTGGTTGGATAAGCTTATGTCTTAGAATTTGCATTGAAATGCTAATTTGTATTGTGATATATTGGAAATGCCTCCGTAAATTTTCAGAGAAATGATTGAGAGATAAAATGGAATTCAAAGCAGAAATGAGGAAAACTGAAGATTGCGAACTCACGCAGTGCAAACTAAGGATTGATGGAATGACTTGTCAGTCTTGTGTGAAGAACATTCAGGGAACACTTGGAACTCTTTCTGGAATCAAGACAGTGAAAGTGAATCTTGCAGAAAAGTTAGGAATTGTGACGTACAACCCAAGCCTCATTTCTGCCAAAGAAGTACGAGACCGTATCAATGATATGGGGTTTGAAGCCTCACTTCTAATTGAAGAAACATTCTGTGATAATAGAGTCAGTCAACCTGTCAATCTTCAGTGCAAAGTGTTCATAGAAGGTATGACATGCATGTCATGTGTGAGGAGCATTGAGGAGAAGATTTCCACCCTTCCAGGGATTGTCAGGATCTCAGTGAATCTGAAAAGGAAAGAAGGGACAGTGGACTACAATTCAAGCATGATGACTCCATCAGCAGTGTGTGATGCTATAGATGAAATGGGTTTTCAGGCAACATTGCAACAGGGTTTTGAATGCATACCTATCCTTAATGGGCCAGCAGGTGATACTAAAGAATCTCCTACCAAACTCTTGTCTTCTCCATCATTTCCCTCATTTCCTTCTTCCCCAGTGAAGTCTCTGCCCTCAGAGTCTGGTGAGCAATGAAGAATGGGAATTCCATTGAGATTCTTAGATCTGTCCCCCAGTACACACGACTGACCTGTTTGAATGCATCTCTCATTTCAGAAGTGGCTTTTCGTCTTTCTCCTATATTCAACAAGAATCAATTGAGCCCCAAGTTTGACTCATTTGTTGCATTAGACCTACATGATGATTGCCTGACTAAGCGTTTGAGTATATGCTTCCTAAGGATTCAAGGCATGACTTGCTCTTCCTGTGTCCCTGCCATAGAACATCACACAAAAAAGATCCCAGGCAAGTTCCAAATATTTATGTATTTATGTAAGTGACAGTCAGTTCTTAACGATTCAGTATGTAGTGAGAAAAGAGAGGATAGGTGCTGATGATCCCCAGTGTCTCTTGCATGGAAGGATTCAGCAGCAGACTAATATGCTGACTATCATTAACTTCATCATCTCTTTGATCATCAACACTCTTTACAGGTGTGTACAGCATCCTGGTGTCCCTCATGGCTGCCAAGGCTGAGGTTCGTTATGATGCATCAGTCATTCTGCCAGCACAGATTGCGAGTGGAATCTCTGATTTTGGCTACCAAAGCTTTGTGATGGAGGATACCCTATGTTGTAATGGAGAGATTCAATTGTGGGTGAGTCCTAAGTTATATTTTATAATTCAGTTTCTGAGAAATCAAGCAGTGTTCATAGCTTCACTGAGCCTCAGAGTCAGTATAATTATGGGTATACTCATTAAATACCAACAGGTAAGAAGCAGAAGGCTTGTGAGACTTGACCATAAAATGAGCTCTGGAAGACTGATTTTAACCCATTGGCATGGATATATCTGTTTTACTCCTATTATTACCACAGGGTGAGCCTCAAAACCCACCTGCTGAAGGATTAATATGAAAGAAATATAATCAGCTGGAGCTGAACAGCTACTTGAAGAATAGAACAAAATCTAAATATTCTTTCATGTGACAGTATATGTCCTGCTGATGGAAGTATTGGCCCTTGAACTTTATCTGCAGACATATGCTCCAAGATAAGTACCAGTAGGTGTTCTCTTCTCTTCCTCCCTACTCCATGCTAACAGCATTTATTTCAACTTTGACATCTCCTAATTTATCAACTTAGTGAAAAAAAGACACTCATGAAGGTTATTGAACCATCATCTATAAAACTGATTATAAATAAGGTAACCTGAGCATCTTCAATTATGTGTGACAGTAAAAATCAGTTGGGATAACACCCCTTGATGCATTGAAGAAAAGCCAATGCATATTAGATAGCTGTTATAAAATCACTGGAGAAAATGAATGATATCTGAAATGGAAGGACCAGCAGGAAGAAAGAAGTTGTGGACATGTTTGGTCAAATGCCTGCTTCCATGCACAAGAATATAAAATATTAAGAGAAAGGGAGAAAGTGACCTTTGCAGGATCAGGTTGACTCATGTCATAGAGAGGAGCAAGACTGAAAATAAAATCTGGCAATCTTGAGGTCACATCATGGGCTGACATTGTTACCTTGAAAAGTCTTTTTGCTTTTGCCACTCATTAAAATGAAAACATGAAGCAATCTAGAAAAAAAGAGTATGGCTGAGTTCACCAGCTTGGATCATGAAAAGTCCAAGCTGCTTGAAGAGGAAGAGCTGTATCCACAAAATAAGCCCATTTAAATATTGCTTATTGTAATGCCATATAAAGGCACCTTATTTCCTTTGGAATCCAATATAATCATTGCTCATGATGATTTACTAAATCTTCAGAAATCTTTTCCTAATGCAAATCTACTGAACAAGGAGAAAATCATGAATGGTTTTCAGATGATTTTTAATTTTCTGTTTTTTCCATATTTCTTTAGGTTATGCATTGCCCCACCTATATACACTACCTATGAGATGCAATTGCCATACACAGTGTGTATGCCTACAAAGTTTTCCTTTTTACTGCAGATACGAGGGATGACATGTTCCTCCTGTGTCCATGGTATTGAATCCAACCTGAAGAGTAAAAAGGGCATCAAAGATGCTGCTGTGGCCCTATCCACACATTCAGGGATGGTTTGGTATGATCCAGATATTATTGGACCAAGGGACATCATTTCTATGATTGAGGTTGGCTTTCATGTCCTGGTTCAATAATGAAGAGGTATGTCCAGCAGTCCATGTCAATGATTTTTTCCATTATGAATTTACAGGATTTAGGTTATAAAGCAGGTATGGCCAAAGACAGTGATCATCGCTCAATGCTGGACAACCAAGAAGAGATCACAAAGTGGAGGAGGACATTCTGTTTTGCTATTGTGTTTGCTATCCCAACTATGGCTCTAATGATCTACTTCATGCTCTCACACAACCATGAAGTACTTGTTCCTGGCCTCTCCTATGAAAATCTAATACTATTTATTCTTGCTACACCTGTACAAGTAAGATATCTTATTTTGGTTCATGGCATGTTCCTTTACCCACACTGATAGAAGAGGTACCAATCTGTAATAACTTTGTGTTCTATTGTAGTTTTTGGGTGGCTACCCATTCTATGTGGTGGCTTGGAAAGCTTTGAAGCATGGCAATGCCAACATGGATGTTCTGATTATGTTGGCAACATCTATTGCATACATCTACTCAACGATTGTACTCATAGCAACCTTTTTTTTGCAAGAAGCCACCAGTCCAAAGACATTTTTTGAGACTCCACCCATGTTGATAGCTTTTATCTCACTGGGGCGTTGGTTAGAGAGCATTGCCAAAGTGAGTTATCTTTTTGACAGTACTGATGAAGAAATGAATGTGAGCATGAATGAAATAGTTATACAGCATCATGTATATTGTATTTAGGGAAAGACATCTGAAGCATTGGCAAAGTTAATGTCCCTTCAACCAACAGAGGCCACTTTAGTGCAGTTGAGTGAGAACAAAGAAGTTAAATGGCAGAAGGTGATTTCAGCTGACCTGGTGCAGCGAGGAGACATCCTCAAAGTTGTTCCTGGTTCCAAAGTTCCTGTGGATGGTCTAGTCTTAATTGGACATTCAACCATAGATGAATCTCTCATCACAGGAGAGTCTATGCCCACTGAGAAGAAACCTGGTATGATAGATGTCTAAAATGCTTAATTTTATTCAGTGTATTCATAGTGTAGTCATGTTAAACTTGTTGAATGTCTCTGAGTGCAGGATCCCAAGTGATTGGAGGTTCAATAAACCAAAATGGAGTGCTCATCATCAAAGCCACTCATGTAGGGAAAGAAACAGCTCTCTCTCAGATTGTGAAGCTTGTGGAGGATGCCCAGACTTCTAAGGCTCCCATTCAGCAGCTGGCTGATAAAGTAGCTGGTTACTTTGTTCCCTTTGTCTGCCTGGTGTCTCTTGTGACACTTTTTATATGGATCACAATTGGCTACATAGATATCACCATCATTGATCCTAATTACAATGTATGTGATCAAATTCTCTTCTTCAGAGTAAACCATTTGTAGATGAGAAAATGTAATAGCAGTATTCATGTTTTCTGCAGGAGACTGGTTACAGTCACCATGAAGTGATCTTTCAGTTTGGTTT